GCTCACAACTACGACAATGGGAGGTAGAAGATATAAGTCATGAAATTCCAAATTTTGGAAAGCGTTTCAAGCCCGTGGTTACTGACACACATAAAACTTCGCCTATAACTATATTTGACCGTTTTTTTCCTGACATATTGATATTAATATTAGCCGAACAAACCAATAAATACGCCAGCCAGAGAAACAGCGCTCAATGGAAACCAGTTACTGAGAAAGATATAAGAGCCTATTTGGGAGTTTTAATTCTGATGGGATTGAACCCTCTTCCAGATATGGAACTCTATTGGTCGACCGATACATTTTACTATAACAAAGAAATGGCGCAAGTTTTTCCACTCACTAGATTTAAAAAAATCACTGAAAATCTACATTTAAATGATAACCAAACCCAACCATCAAGAGATTCTCCTGATTATGATAAATTACACAAGGTCAGACCTCTAATAATAGAATTAAACAAAATATATCAGAAGGAAGCTTGTAATTCCCAAATCCAATCAGTTGACGAATGTATGGTCAAATTTAAAGGACGCAGCTCCTTAAAACAATATATGCCCAAAAAAACCATTAAAAGGGGTTTTAAAGTCTGGGCGAGATGCGACGCAAAAACCGGCTATTTATATCAATTTGAAATTTATACTGGTAAAGGCGACAGCATTGAAAACGAAGGTCTCGGATACAATGTCGTTATGAAATTATGCAATAATGTCCCTAGAAACACTTTGGTTGCCTTTGATAATTTTTTCACGAGCTGTAATCTAATGGAAGATCTCTACGACAAAGGTATATACGCAGTGGGAACTGTACGATCGAATAGAAAAGATCTTCCCGACATGATTAAAAAAAAGCAGCCAAAATCATTAAGACTAGCAAAACACGAATTTGCTGCTGTTACAGCGGAGCCCATAGTAGCCATTAAGTGGCTCAATACTAAAAAAGTGGCAGTCCTCACTACGGCTCATCAACCACGTGATATACAGTACGTAAAAAGGACGCAAAAGGATGGCTCAAGAAAAGAGATACTTTGCCCAAAAGCTATTGCAGAATATACACTTTCCATGGATGGAGTTGATCTATTCGATCACTTTAGATCTTCATACCCAATAAACAGAAAGTCAAGGAAGTACTGGATGAGACTTTTGTTTTTCTTTTTTGACGTCTCAATAATAAATGCGTATATCACCTACAATCATACACATATACCAACGCTGCATGGACATCGCGAATTCAGGTTGCGTTTAGCACGCTCACTGATCAATAGCTACACCACCAGAAAAGAAAACATCCAAAGTGTCGTTTATAAAAACAAAAAAGGTGGCGTTTTCGGAGTGCCGGATGAAATCCGTCTGATGAATGTGGGTATTCACATGCCGGACGTAATACAAACTTATAAGAGATGCAGGTTTTGTAGCACGAAAAAAATAGAAAAGAGGACCAATATACAGTGTTCAACGTGTCAAGTAGCCTTTTTTTTTTGTGTGCCAAAATATGCTTTAAATCTTTTCACGCTGCTCCTTCTCAGTAATTTATCTAACCTATTTTGTGTTTTTTTCTTTCCTATTATTGTCCCACTGCTGGACAAAGATCTCATCCAAACATAGTATATATGTTATACGTATAAGAGTACTTATTATTAATTGTATCTTTGTAAAGCTTAGTAAGTAATGAAATATTTCTGAATAATTATTGTTTTTTATTGTCTAAAAAAAATTATTTACAAAAATCTGTGGCAAATCCGAGGTACTAACTAGTCTAAAAAATACTCCAAAACAATCTTAAGTGGTAACGGATAACGGGAACTATTTTCCCATTTGGCGATTTTTGTGTTTGCGAATACGAATAAGGGGAAATAATTTCCCACCGAAAAACACCCCCTTCCCTCCACTTTTTCGAAATTCCACTAAGATTTTTGGAATCTACGGACCTATTTTACTTAAAAACCGACCTTACTTTTAATTTATCTCACAAAAAGTTCCGTGTTTGATTAAGGGTTAAAATGTAATACCGTTTGACACAACAAATTTGTTGTGTAAAGACAATTACATTCTGTGTCCACACCTTGGCTTATCATGGCCTTGGTCTTCGACACATTTTATCAAGGCACCGACATGTTATTTATTACAGATTCCAGGGTTTATTCCAGGTTCGTGTAATAATCCGCTGCATTTTGTATTAAGTATGAACGCTGAAGAAACAAAAATGTTATTACGTTGTTCATTTTACTGGTGCCAAAGATGTGATTTTGCTTTATACGATCACTATCCAGCCGACGAATGTGATTATTATAATTAAAGGTTTTTACTGCATTAGTAGCCGTTAAGCCTCCTTTTTCATTATGGTTCAAAAAGAACAGAAACGATATTTGTGTTACCTACTCGAATCAAACTTGTCAAGGTAATTTGTAATACTAATTAATTGTTAAAATTGTTTAAATTTTTTGTGTTACTTCGATGTATCTGCGCCGTATTTAAGTTTAGATTATTATTATTATTAAAACACACAGCGTTGATGTGAAGAAAGCTGATGTGAAAATGCCCTTATTCTATAGTTTATGGTGAAAACTTGCCAGATTGTCTATGCTTTATATACCTGTCTCGTTCTTTCACCAGCGTGCGTCCTCTTCTACCCTTTGAGGCGCTTGTCAATTGACATTGACAGTTCATAGCGTTGGTGATTTTGCCGCTTAAACACGCAAAATTTTCTAAGTCTTATAAAAACTGTGTTAAAACTGTTTAAAAGTGTTGAAAAACAAGTTATCATTGTGTAAAATTATCACACAGCGTCTTCCCTATCCACGTGTTGTGTTTTTAGTGAGGAATAAGTGTTATTTAACATGGATTCCGAAGACGTCGATAGGGTAAGTAATGGCGGTGAGGAATAAGTGATGTTTAACATGGGTTCCGAACACGTCGATATGGTATCTAATGGCGGAGGTGAACAATGTTCGAGGGTTGATGCTTCGGAGGGAGATCAGCCCTTGAATAGGACGAAATCGGATGATTCGTCGTCTTCATCCTCGGAGGAAGAAGAAGGCATAGCGTCACCACCGCCCATTAATATTTTTCTTTAGTGTAGGTAGTCTTGGCGTTGAAAATACAATCACAATAGTGTACAAACTCACAATTACCAGAGTATTATTACAATTCCCAAGTACCAGAGAAAGGGCACAGTTCACACAGCTTGACATTTTTAACAGAATCGTTGTGATTTACTGCACAGAGACACGGACCGTTGTAAAAACGTTCTACACAATCCGGACCACCAGCTCAGAAACAATAGGTACAATAGTCTTTAAAAAGATTCTTGAGCGTGTAGGAATCCCGAGACTCTACTGGACACGAACTCAACGCAATGATAAGTTATTTATTAGCACTAGACATGTGTAGTTCCGGACCGAAAAAGTTCCTGGAATTTAGAGCACAGGTACCGCGTGCGCGGAGGCGTGGCGCGGCGAGTCGACCCGAACGAGTCCCGAACCGACACGAGTCCACGTAAAGAGCTAAGGCAAAATATGGTCCGAATACGAGGGAGTGAGATGGAGCGAGTACAAGCAACTGCGTGTGGAGCTCTTTCATATTACATTTTTATGAATATTGAAGTTATGCACTACGACCTACGTGTTACAGTCCATAGTTGAATAAATTAAAATGTTTTGCTATGGGTTTTGACCTTGACCATGCATCATTCCTGCGAGCACTTAACCTTAAGTGTTTTTAGACCATTTCTTAGAAAATCATAATTCAAAATTAGAGAATTTTAAAACATTCACCACTTTCGCTAGTTTTGTTAGCTACATGTTTACTGGAACATGTTTAATGGAACTAGTTCCGACACTCAAAAGAACGATGTCATGTTCAATCCTTTTCCGAACATGATTAGCACACGTCTAATTAGCACAATAAACTCAGTATCTATCAGTAAAAACAACTGCTCTGTTTTACTTGACAAGACATGACATTTTTGACAGTTCATGTTTTTCCGTACCGTATAGTGCTACCATCGGTTAATTTCACTTTCCCTGACTTTATGTGCTTTGTCAACTAAAGAAAGGTTTTTAATTAGTATAGTAATATATTTTGTGTATATTTTTATAGTAATATACGTTAATTATTAATAAAAATATTCATAACGCCGAAAACTGACATAGTTGAAATTATTTTTAAAACTCAGCGTCTGCCCTTACCACAGATCATAGAAACACAGGAGATATGGCAAGGAGGCGTGGCTGTTAGGTTATATATAATCTTACTCTATGCGTGGCTGGCATCTGGCCTCAAAGCGGCTTGATGCCAGTTTCGGTCATTAGTCGAATGTCAACTTGCGACGTCTTCATTGCTTACGATTTTTAACAAAATGCCGCGTTGTTCAGTGATTGTTTGCAAAAATAACAGCTGTATTGTGAATTACAAGAAAGATAGCATCTCATTTCACACGTAAGTACTACAATATTATAGTTTATCATATTGAAATTACAGAATTCATTAAAAAATTTAGAAAAGCGATGATAGATCCCTTTTCATTAGGAACTAAAACCATTGCTTGCTTAGTACAAATGAATCGATGAATCGGCTGCTCTAATAGCGCAATGGATAAGTGTTTTACTGATACTCTCACTCACACGATAGTTTCGTGAAGCGGCCGCTGTCGGCTTTTGTGTGTTAGGGATGTGATATGCTGTTTGTGATTGTCGATATTTTATACGATCCTATTTAGTACGAATGATTATTTAAGATACAATTAATTATTTAAAAACCCAATTTGTTTCTATTTCTTGATTACTTCACCTAACTTTTATTGAATCAATAGCTAATGGGAATATAGGTAAATAGTAACTTCAGAAACCGAGCATTAAATAACTGATAAAACGTAAAAAAGTGTAGATAATGTGTTGATTTTTAATANATTTTATACGATCCTATTTAGTACGAATGATTATTTAAGATACAATTAATTATTTAAAAACCCAATTTGTTTCTATTTCTTGATTACTTCACCTAACTTTTATTGAATCAATAGCTAATGGGAATATAGGTAAATAGTAACTTCAGAAACCGAGCATTAAATAACTGATAAAACGTAAAAAAGTGTAGATAATGTGTTGGTTTTTAATATATTGTGGTATTCATGCATCATTCATATAATGATCATCATTTATACCATGTTTTATTTTAAAACTTTAGCTATCCGAAAGATCCAAAGATAAAAGAAATGTGGATAAATGCGACAGGAAGGGGTCCAAGCTGGTTCCCAACAAAAAATCACACCATATGCTCGTCCCACTTTGAGCCAAAGTGCTTTCAACCATTGAAGAAAGTTCGTTGGCTCTTCGAATGGTCGGTCCCAACATTGAAGTTGCGTATGGTATTGATGAATTATATGGAACCTTCCACATCCAAAGTGTGCTTTTATTCTGAATTGGATAAAAAGGATCCTAATTTGGTAAGTTAAACTATTTTACAACATCAAAAACTTGTTTCTTTTTTTAAATATAAATATAAAACAAAGTAAGTTTTTTATATGAGAAATTATATAAATGCGGAATGTTTTCTTAATTACAGACGGTTGCTTTAAAACTTCCAACCGGAACCGAATCACAAAATCTCACTTGTGAAAAAAACGATAATTCGGAAAATACTGCTCCAACGTCTACAATATATGGTATCGATACAAACTTTAATGCTCGACAAAATAGCAGTAATGCTAGTTCGAGATAGGTGCTGGTCTTTATTGTTCTGGGAGACAAAATTTGAGTGACCTGTGGACTAATGATGACACAGGCGTGGAAATATTTAGGCTTGTAGTGTCCAAATAACGCTTTCATTTCATCCAAAGCTGCTTGACCTTTGACGATACTTCTATTCGTGATGAAAGGAAGCTAATAGACAAATTGGCACCAATCAGGGAACTATTCGAAACATTTATTGAAAATTGTTAAATATCTTATGTCCCAGGAGATTGTCTAACTATCGATGAAATACTGGTAGCTTTCCGAGGCCGATGCAAATTTCATCAATACATTCCATCCAAGCCGGCTAAATACGGTATCACTAAATAATTTGATAGATGCAAGAAATCCCTACAGCAATAACCTTTAAATATATCCTAGAAAGCAGACTGATAATCGATATTTTATGAGCAATAAACCGTTTGATGTTGTGGATCGCATTGAGCAGCTGATATCGAAAACAAACCGTAACATTATGTTTGATAACTGGTTCACAAGTTATGAACTTGTCGAACATTTTCTCGAGGAACACAAGATTTTTTAATTTTTTATTTACTTATTTTTTTTATTACTACAAGGAGAACCAACAGCCAACTAACATAACATAATAATGTAACAAATAATAGAATCAAAAAGCCAATTAAATGTTCCAAAAAGACGTCAACTTTGTTTCTCATGTCCCAAAAAAAAGTCAACTTGCACCATGACAATAATATTGATGATTCGACTAGAAAAAAACAATAGCCGGAAACCAATACATATTAACACCTCAACAAAATATGGAGCTGATGAGCTGTGCACTACATATAACATGTGTCGCAATTAAAAAAAGTGGACTTTGACAGTTTTCTACGTCATTTTGAACAAGTCTGCCCTTCACGGACTTATTCCACCAGTTCCAAAAGGGTTTATTATATCACTCTCTAAAGCAAAAGATTCTATCCCGGGAGATGAAGATAGCACCTAGAACCATGTCACGTATTTTAAATGATGACTTAGGACTTGCAGCCTATAAGAGACGTACTGGGGTATTTCTTAACTAATCATCTAAAATAGGGTGGTAAAATCGAAACAACTACTGAAGCGGTACGCAAAGGGAGGTCATAGAAATTTTTTGTTTACGGATGAGAAAAATTTTACAATTGAGCAACATTTTAACAAAGAAAATGACCGTATTTATGCTCAAAGCTCTAAGGAAGCTTCCCAATTAGTCGACAAAGTGCAACGTGGGCACTATTCGACTTCAGTGATTGTTTGGTGGGGTATTAGCTATGAAGGAGTGACTGGGGCATACTTTTGTGAAAAAGGTATCAAAACATCGGCATAAGTGTATCAAGATACCATTCTTGAGAAGGTAGTGAAGCCCCTTAACAACACCATGTTCAATAATCAAGAATGGTCCTTCCAGCAAGACTCGGCGCCAGGTCATAAAGCTCGGTCTACGCAGTCTTGGTTGGAAACGAACGTTTCGGACTTCATCAGAGCTGAAGACTGGCCGTCGTCTAGTCCCGATATTAATCCGCTGGATTATGATTTAGGGTCAGTTTTAGAGAGAACGGCTTGCTCTAAACGCCATAATAATTTGGAGTCCCTAAAACAATCCGTACGATTGGCAGTGAAAATTTTTCCCATGGAAAGAGTGTGTGCTTCTATTGATAACTGGCTTCAATGTTTAAAGGACTGTATTGCAGCCAATGGAGACCACTCCGAATAAGCTTTTTGTACTTTTAATTGTTTTATATTTATGTATTAAACTAACACACTGTAAAAGTAATAAATGTTATTTGCAATAGATTTTTTTTTCCTTTGTCTCAGAATTTATGGCAAGACTAGGTATGTATTGATTAATAATAAATTAAATTCTGCGTTTTAAGTTACTTTTTCCATTATCATGAACATACTAGGTAAATAATAGATATGTAAATAAGTGGTAACTGCATGCTTGTCGCATAAGTGGCGAGTGGCTGAGTGGCGAGCCCTCTCTCATGTGGCCCGTTATTCTTTTCTTGGAATAAATTTTAATCCAACCCATGGTAAACCCATCCCCACAATCATCCCCCTTCGCTTTACTGATATCTCAAACAAACAACATGAAAAAGATTTTAACATTGAACCCCACGGAGAAGATCTGCATATACTGGAATGATTTCCGCCGAAAGTTTATTTGCAGGACCTTGCCTAGAACTTAACGTACTTTCGGCTCCATCTCAAGAAATGTGTACGGTCGGTGTTGCTACTGATAATGGATCCTAACCGTCAACCACTGTTTTACTTACTGATACTTCAAAAAATTTTGTGCCATCTACAAACTTTCAACACAAAGGTACAGATAAGTTTGTGCTCTGAAGAAGATTTTTCACCATCAAATGAAGAATATATACCAGATACCGATGAAGACGCTACAGAGTGCGAATGAATCCTACCAGAATCAAGTAACTCATCCATCGAAGATGTAGAAAACATGATAGACAACAGAGAAATCCAATTACTCAATCAATCAGTCTGCGCTATACGCTAAAAGGATTTGACAACGTTGGAACGATAGAAAGCCATGAGCCAAAAAAATTCTAAGATCTAATTCTAGATCTCCAAAGATGTTTACCAACACCCTATTTCACTAATAACCAAAGTTTCTATCACAAAAAGCTGTGGATGTTTAGCTTTACGGTTATAAACTCAGTTCTAAAAGAAAGCTGGTGTTTCATGTGGGACGAAACTGTGGCGGGTCGAGATGGAAAGAAATGGCACCAGGAATAGTTGAATTTTTTGAACAGGCTGTCGATAGTGCATTGAAAGAAGTAACCTTATGGAGTGACATTTGTGCGGGGCAGAATAACAATGTCTACTTGATGGTGGCTTACTTCTGGATATTAACTCAAAAAGAGCATTTGTAAATAATAAACCACAAGTATTTACTAAAAGGACACACTCACATGGAAGTGGATGTGATCCACGATAGAACGCAAAAAGAAAAAGATCCAGGAGTTTTCCATTGTTACTCCCTGGCACTGGCAGCAGTTTATTAAGAACTGTTCAAGAAATAATAAAATTAAAGTGATTAATATGGAAACCGATCACTTGTATTTTTCTGCTTTTTGTGAAGGATCATCACTCCTTTTGTTCACAGAAAAAAACCGGATGCAGGAGAAACCGTGCCTTATTCGACTATAGTGTGGATACACTTCCGAAAATATAAGATGGGTTCAACAATATCCTACAAATTTTCTTTTGACCAGGAAACATACGAACAAGTCAGTTTTATTAGTAACAAACGAAGAGCATGTTCGATGCCCACGCCGAAACCTATTCGAGAAACTCGAAAACCCATTTCAAGACTGAAATACAATGACTTACAAAAATCATTGCGGTGGATTCCATCCATGTTTCATGAATATTATAAGAATCTTCCACGAGCGGAAGTTCCTGACTTGCCTGAGGTCTACGAGTGTGCTGTTAGTCTCCTACAAATAATGAGATAAATAAATATTTCAATTTCTTAGCACAGACTTATTATTTTTTATATATAAAATGAATCTCCTGCCTCCCTCGTCCCCTTCAAAATTATTTCCAGGTACATTGGTATTACCTCATAATATTGTATACCTCTGAGAAATGCATTTTTTTAAAAAGGTATATAGCCTCAAGTCCATAAAATTAGATAATATATAGATTTATCGTAATTATATGTAATTCATGATACTTACGTCTAATTATTATAAAAAATGCAGCTAAGTTAATTACTCTGCCTCTATTATAACTTTTATAAACTCTTTTAATAAATTAAAATAATTGTTGAATAAAACAAATACTGTGATTTGTTTTATTATTTTTATTGTTATTATCGTTATTAAGAATTGTGATTTTTTTATATACATATGTTATTAGGAAACATCTGAATACCACGCCGTTCTGTTCGACTATTAGACCACCAGACTCGACTCACTTTCGTTCTTATTCAGTTTGATGACAGCAGTTTGTACTGCGTAGTCTCAGACTGGACGCAAGTCAAGTCAGGTTGAATTCGGTAGGTGAACCCCATTGCCTGATACTTGAAATTACACAAGACGTTTTTCACTTCCTAAAATACGGCATCAGAATTATTTGAAACTTTAATCGGTACTAGTTATCACACGCACAACATACAAACGGGACCACATTTCGAAAATAAATATAATAAAACAATAAAATTTTACAATACAAAATAATCAAATGTTTTGCTCAGTTTTGGGACACCATTATAATATACTAATAAAACAATTCAATATCTCGTGAATGGGATTTCCCACCATGAGAACGGTCTAAATGGACCACATTGACAAAACCTATCCTGCAATCTCATAATAGGCCCAAACATTAACAAAATGGTGGGGTCGGGCGTCTTGGGAGCTTACACCGGTGCGTACCACCACCCTATTTCAGTCGTGAAGCAGTAATGCGTTTCGGTTTGAAGGGCGGCGCAGCCGTTGTACTGTAAATACTGAGACTTAGGACTCGTGTCTCAAGATAGACGGCCTTGACGTAGTTGATGTCTGCAGGCTCCAGTGATCACTTAACCACCAGGTAATCCGTGAGTTTGTTCAATTAAAATAACTCAATATAAAAAGCGGCTAAATCTGGATGAGCACATTAAAATCCAGGTGTTGGTCCACCAACCTGTCCATTTATGGCGTGAGGCAGAGATGCGCACCAGCTTGCAGGGTGGGGCGACCGATAGAAGTCGGGAGGCGTCTATATGATGTCGCATGGGATGATATATATGTATACCATGTATTTGTTAATTTATGTATGTAATATTCTTATGAATTTGGTTATTTTCGCATTAAGTAATGCATCTACCACAGTATTCTCTACACCACCCTTGGTTGACTGGTAGACAATGCCTCAGGCATTAAGTCCGCCATTATACCTTTGCACATTAAGTTTAAATAAGCGTGAAATTGTACAATAGTATCTATTTGTTGTGTTCATACATAAAATTACATACAAACATACTCTTACCTTCATTTTCAAGATGGTGTTTTATCCTGTACTCAGGTCTTCTTTAAATTTACTCAGACACATACAGCACTACTACAGTACCCTAATACAATTATAATAAATATTAATATTATAAAAACATTTATCTTAATCGTGAAAATTTAATAGTTTTTGGCACTTCGGGGAAGGTTTTTGACATAGTAATATCAACGCATAATAGTGGATGGACAAGTAGCTTTAGGAAATATGTGTATTTAATACATTTAGCGATATTCACAGCAGAGCACAATTAGATTTCACTAATTAAATATGAAAACGACTATTCAACTCGATCATTAAAAACATTATCCGTGCACTAGCACTACACAACAGCGGCCGATAAACAAACACTTCTAGACATGAATTATTTTTAATTATTTTTCAAGATTCACTCGCGTTTATTAGACAGTGCACTGGTCCAATGTCCGATTAGCGCTAACAAAGCGCTATCTAACGCCAATATCATTGTTTTCCTCGCTTCCCGGGCGGTTTCTGAAGCTGGAATGAAGATGGGCCCGTTAACAGCAATGTAGACGTGGAATTCGTCTGCGGCGGAGGATTCGAATGGGGAGGCCACGAGGTTGCTGAAACAAAACCAGTCAATCAACTACTGAAGACACAAATCGTCTTCTCGCATTAAAACTGTATAATATCAAAACTTACTAATTTTACAAAGAGTGAGTTTTAATGGATTAACATGTGGTATTTTTAAGATTAATCAACATTTTGCAACATTTATTTTTTACCAGTTACATTATCACTGTCTTAAGTAAGATAAAATTATGTATTAATTTTGTTAATAGTAGTTAATGTATAGGTAAACTAAAAAACTAAAACTAAACTATGCTCTTTTGATAGTTTAAATGAGAAAAATACTGGTGATGCCAAATGATTCCGCATATTAACTCAATTTCGAATATTTTTGGAAATTGTACACTTTTAATGCGAAAAGACGAAATGAGGACTGATGCAATGCACTCGTCGAGGCTTTAGGACAACGAACAAATGGAAACTAGACAAGTGGAGCACTGTAACCGGCTTAGATGTAATGCAACATCACACATTACGCGAAGGAAACAAACATCACACTATCACCCAACATGTTTCTTTCTTTGTCGTGTAATGTTGCTTAATACACGAACGCAACCGAGCGAGCGAGACAGACCGATCGACGCTGCAACGCGATGGCTTGACGTGCAGTGCTACGCAAAATAAATGAGCAAGCGACACGGAATTATTCCTAGTGATTTTGATCCGTATGCCCTGGCCGCTAGGTACATTTTTATACCTATGGTACGTCTGAATTTTAATATAAGTATTTGTGTTTATACTTTTCATGCGGCCAGCCGGTAGTTCCCCGCAAGTTACTTAATTTTTTATTCGCAACTTTTGTAAAATCGCTAGTCGCTCGTAATTGTTTAGTAATATTTCATATTAATTTTTGTGTTTGAATTACTTAAGCACTTGTTTGAAGATAGTTTTATTATTTGTTTTAATGCGTGTTTAATAAGTGAAAGAAAGAATGGCGTCTAAATGAAAGTACAGTCCTCTTTGGATACATTTTGAGGAGACCGCGCCAAAAAAATGCGTCTACTGCTCTCGTATATTAACATTATCGTCGAGCTCAATTTGCAGTCTAAGTCGCCATATTGCTTAGATGGATGGACGAGCTCACAGCCCACCTGGTGTTAAGTGGTTACTGGAGCCCATAGACATCTACAACGTAAATGCGCCACCCACCTCGAGATATAAGTTCTAAGATCTCAGTATAGTTACATCGGCTGCCCCACCCTTCGAACCGAAACGCATTACTGCTTCACGGCGGAAATAGGCGGGGTGGTGGTACCTACCCGTGCNTTAAGTGGTTACTGGAGCCCATAGACATCTACAACGTAAATGCGCCACCCACCTCGAGATATAAGTTCTAAGATCTCAGTATAGTTACATCGGCTGCCCCACCCTTCGAACCGAAACGCATTACTGCTTCACGGCGGAAATAGGCGGGGTGGTGGTACCTACCCGTGCGGACTCACAAGAGGTCCTACCACCAGTGATTGAAATCCGTTCATCCCACAATAAATTATATTAAGTAAAAAATAAAATTATTATATTACTAAGTAAGTCAAGCTCTGTCAACTAATATAACAGTGTATTACAATACAAAGTATGAGCACATCACTTAAGTAATGATTCGGGTGTATAGATACAATGTATTCGTCACAGTATCTATTGAACGCACCGAGTAATGTTAAGAGTGATGTGTAATGTTTTCGAGTAATATCACCTGTCTGTAAAAGTGATGTCATATCACATTACATTGGGAAGTGATGTTTTGCGCCAGTCTAATGGAAACCTTACCCAACTCCTGTTTTTATTTTTATATTGTGTCAAAAGGCAGAAATTTTTACTGGAGACGAGTGAAAGCATTTTTATAATGTATTTTATGACCTGGTAACTAAGACCTTTAAGTCATGTCTTATTTTAATTTATATTCTTATTTTTATGAAAAATGATAAAATGGAGTGAAATGAAATGAAGATGATTAATTTCAGACATTAATCAACTGGGATGAAATGAAATGAAATGAGATGACATGGGATGAAATATAATCGCAGTAAAATGGTGGTCATTTACTGAGATTTTTTCAGTGGACTTTTTGGAGGAACCCGAGAAGTTACGTCCAGCAGCTTTGTTTCATTTTCCCACATTTGTGCACTTTTACAGATATTAAAGAGTTAATAAAACACCGTTATTACACATTTAAACCTGAAAAAAAAAAAAAGAAATAGACAAAATAAAACAAATCACACAACTTCACCCCTCGCGTTCCCGCCAAAAAGTCTTTTAAAAACAAAAACGTACATAACATAGATAATACACATAAATTAGTTATAGATAAGCAACTCAACAAAAATGTTTACGGTCGTCGGCCACTAGATGGCTTGGTTTCGATTAGTTTCTAATTGCTCCTGTTAATGGCAGTAACAAATTAACTATCCTATATTTTATTTTTAATGAAGGTTTTTAGGTTTTATTTTTTGCAAATTATCAGAAACCACCAATTGTTAAAATTTAATCAATTTGTCTTTACCAAATAAAGACTTGTAAGTTTTTTTTTTTTGTGTGGTTAGTCAAACAATAATTAAATGCCTTAAATTTAACAATTTAAAAGTTTAGGGGCAACCGCCATAAGATGTCGATAGTTTCCAAAAAAAAATGTATTAAAGATCTCAGTTTTCAGGGCCCTGATAAATAATGTGAAAGGACGTACGTATAGGCGGCAAGTCGTGGTGTGGATCAGCATAGCTCATTCCTGGCATAGCCTCCTTATCGTGGCAGCCGCTAATTACAGATCCGACCCAGGCGACCGGGGCAACGGAAGGCATCCATCTCCCGAAAATTGTATTGTCCGATCCTCCGGATTCTCTCTCGGTGCTTTTAGGACCCTCAAGCACCGATCACCGACCTCGTAGAACTCGTCATTTACGATGGAGTTCGACGAGCGAACTAACCCACAGACACGAGCCACTGAGTTTCTCGCCGGATCTTCTCGGTGGGTGGCGATTCCAATTCGTTGGTAGATTCAGTGAAGCACTGCTCTTGCTAGGGTCAGTGTAAGACAATTCTCTCAGGTTGAGCCCGTGAGCTCAGCGTCCACAAAAAGCTGGAGTATCCCTTATACTACCAGCTAATAGATAGGGGAAAATGACATCCTGCTTAGTTTTGCACTAAAGCACTCATGCTTTTCGGTTTAAAGGGTGGGGCAGCTGCTGTACTGCTCTACGGAGACTTCGAACGTGGGGTCGAAGAAAATAAACGGCGTAGATGCCGCCTCCCACCTCAAGACATTAACTCCAGTGGTAGTATCCACTCAGTGAAATACAAAAGTATATAATTTGTGTACAATATTAGACGGTAGACGCTTCGAACTTTCGAAAGAGATACGCAACGACGTTGTCCCCACATCAAACTATCAATTATATGGTAAGATTATTTGTGGTTATGTGTATTGTCCTCCGGGAACCTCATCGGAGCAGTCAATAAAATACTAAGTATATTGACATGTTTATTCTCATCAGCGGCCGCGGTGGATCACTGCACGTTAAACACTGACTAAACTAAACGGGGCAGGGTATCATTCCCATACAATACCATTGCATCTATGTGTTTCAATGATAGTTTAATAACGTCCAGGTTAGACGCCATAGTTCTGTGCCGTATCTCTTTTGCGTATTTCTACTTGCATTTCAAGGTAGGTATCAGAAAATCATAAATAAATAATAGTTTAAAAAAACTATTAAAAAAAAAATACGCTTTTTTACAATCAAATCATTTTTTCTTACACTATTTTAAATTCAAATTTATTAAAATTTATTTTCTATTTTTTAGTAGAATTTTCTATAAAAGCGTATTTTGTTAGTTTTTTTAAACTATTATTTATTTTTAATTTTTTAGTAGAATATCAATTTTCTCAATACATATATATTTTTTAATTTTAAATTGTCATCGATCCTTAATAAGTATACCAAATTTCGAGTTAATCCGACGTTTTGAAGGGGGTCAAAATCATGTTCAATGATTCCGTTAAGGGCATACATACGTCTGAAGCTAATAAAAGCGTATTAAAAAACATACCGCTGTTATCAACATTCGTAATCGGCGTCAGATTGGACCCGATATAGCTGAAGGGCGTCGGCCCGGCCAACTGGTGCACGCCTCCTGCAAGCGATCCCATTAGTTAGTGCGTCGTCCTCCCGCCATTTTTTTTATTGCTTAGATGGGTGGACGAGCTCACAGCCCATCTGGTGTTAAGTGATTACTGGAGCCAATAGACATTTACAACATAAATGCACCTCCCACCTTGAGATGTCAGTTCTAAGGTCTCAGTATAGTTACAACGGCTACCCCACCCTTCAAACCGAAACGCATTACTGCTTCACGGCAGAGATAGGCAGGGTGGTGGTACCTACCCGTGCGGACTCACAAGAAGTCCTACCACCAGTAGGTCCGTATAATACTTCTTTTATGCGGCACCTAGACACCAGCATTATCACTGCACACCGGGGGCATTAATAACTACTGCAACAAATAAGACTGAACTGTATTCATACCTAAAGCAGCTCTAGGGTCGGCCAGCACGGCACTCACTCTGTTCACTTCACCGGTCAACGTGGACTTAAACTTTCTTTTACCGCTAACATCCTCTTGTAACATTTGGTCTAGGCTTGTGTTATCTGCAATAAAATAAAATTGAATTGCTGAAATTATGAATTGCTGTTCGTTGGCCTCGCTAAAACTCGAGAACGGCTGGACCGTTTTGGCTAATTTTGGTCTTGAATTATTTGTGGAAGTCCAGAGAAGGTTTAAAAGGTAGATAAATATGAAAATGACCAGAATTAAATAAAAATAACAATTTTGTTTTTCCTTTGATGTGTCCCCCGTCGGACGAATTCCTTTTGTTTGTTTTAAGTTTATTTTATACAAAAGCTTAGGTCTTTTATTTATCGATTGAGGCACTACGAAGTCTACCGGGTCAATTATTCTGCAATAAAATATTCTATTATACTATTTGCGTACACAATTTATGGAAGCTATTCGCAAAGCAGATGTGACATTAAATAGCTAATGTAAAACATGGGGAAAATATTATTGATATGAACCTTTATATCAGAATTATATAAACTTGTTAAAGAATATTTATTTTGTAGCGTGCAACATTCGGCCGCACTCGGGCGTCATCGGGCGCGATCGGAATTTCCGAACGCGTAGGTTGCGTGTTGCGTGACGTCATTAAACAAGATTGGCGCGCCGATTCAACTTCAATATAAAATCGCAATTTTAGTTTAATTTGTTTCGTCTATTGCCTAGCGTCGTTTACTCTTTTTTAGTTTATATTTTAACATTGTACACATATATCTGAACATTATAGATATTATTGAAATAGTGTGTTTGACTTTTATATATTCCGAGTCAAAACATCCCGCGAATACGAAGAACAGACAACAAACCACACTATTAGTTTTGTAATAATGTCGACTAACGGTTCTGTAGGAGGTCAAACGTGGCAGCCGGTTCCTTCAGTATGTAGGTCCTCAGGTTCTTGTACTGACGGAGCTGCTCCTCGACTTGGGAATGTACAGTCTGCAGCCGGCCCGCCAGAGCTACCAGCGACTCGTGCATACGACGAATGCCTAGTGTTAATTCTGTAATAATTTTACATAAATTAGTTATACATCATGATATTTTTTTAAAAGTACATGAGGGTTCCATCATATTTTCTTTTTTTTTTATTACTTAGATGGGTAGACGAGTCCACAGCCCACCCGGTGTTAAGTGGTTACTGGAGCCCATAGACATCTACAACGTAAATGCGCCAACCACCTTGAGATATAAGTTCTAAGGTCTCAGTATAGTTACAACGGCTGCCCCACCCTTCAAACCGAAACGCATTGCTGCTTCACGGCAGAAATAGGCAGGGTGGTGGTGCCTACTCGTGCGGACTCACAAAAGGTCCTACCACTAGTAAAGTGTGGAATCCATCCCCTCCAGTAAGAACAGCTGCAACGTCTGATGGATCTTAATTAGTAATTAAAACACATTATCGCTGTCGTCAAACACTTACCCTTTTCGGTCAGTAATTTGGGTGTCGATTGCATCTGTTTGTCTGCAATTTCCATTTGTCTCCGGAACGTTATTAAATGCTGTTCAAGCTCTGAAATCAGGTCCTTGACGTATTGAGGGGGCGCCATGCCTTCCAGCTCCGAACCTGCAAAAAAATTACATGAGTTTCTGATTTTGCTATGTAACCTGAATGACCTCTTGGGTTGACCGTCAATGGTCTTGAACATCATGAGTTATGAGAACCTTATCAGCCTACTACATTACTCTCAGAGTTGTTCATATAATTTTTATTATTATTACATATAACGAATAGCACTTTTTGAGAGTTTGTATAACATGATTATAGCACTTTAGTGTGTGATAGGAGGTATCAGTTAATTTAGTTTTATAACAATTAATAAATAAATACAATAATTTTTTCAACACATTTGTGGGTATATAATGTATAATTGTATATAGCAGTGGTGTTTTCTGGGAAGGTAAGATTACTGGTGGCCCGAAGGCCTTTCCAGTTTTAGCAGGACAGGTAGGCCAGCAAATGCTCAGCCAAGAGGGGATGTATGTCCTATGGATATCATACCTCTCGGTAAGCAGCCATCAGCATAAGCAGATCAACGTGGTCGAAATCGGACTGGAACGCAGCACCGTCATCATTACTATTTTTTTTATTGCCTTTTTAGTCAGACGAGCATACGACCCACCTGATAATAAGTGGTTACAGTCGCTCATGGGCGTCAGCAATGCCATAAGCAGAGCCAAGCCGCTGCCTATCATACTATTTAGCCCACTGAGTTTCTCACCGGATCTTCTCAGTGGGTCGCGTTTCTTATCCGGTGGTAGATTCTGCGAATCACTACTCTTGCTAGGGCTAGTGTTAGCAACGTCCTCAGGTTAGAGCTCCGTGAGCTCACCTACTCGCTCGCTTACACAGGCATAGACTCTCAAGGCTACCAGCTTAGGTAGGGAAAAAATAGTAATGAGTAATGTATGTATACTATACTTGAAGTGTACGTATACTATACATAGTAACTATACTTGAGACCTTAGAACTTATATCTCAAGGTGGGTGACGCATTTACGTTATGGATATCTATGGGCTCCAGTAACCACTTAACACCACGTGGGTTGTGAGCTCGTCCACCCCTCTAAGCAATAAATAAATAAAACATACCGGGCGCCGCGTTGTCCCGCAGCACGGTGTCGGCGGCGGCGAGCGCGGCGGCGGCGGCGGCTCGCTGGCGGCGCGACACGCAGCGCGCACGCGCCACTTCGCCGCACACGCGCGCCGCCTCGCGCGTCAGGACCGCCGCCTCGCCCGCCACCTGCCACAAGCGATATCACGATAGTACTATGTCACTAGGGATGATCGATATTCATCGATGTTTAACTGGTAAACATCGATGTTTTGGTTTCGATAACATCGGTACATCGATATTATGATAATAAATTATCAAATTATCGGATTTTTGGCGGGAACGCGAGGAGTGAAGTTGTGTGATATGTGTTATTTTGTCTATTTAGTGTTTCTTCAGGTTTAAATGTGTAATAAAGGTGGTTTATTAACTGTTTAATATCTGTGAAAGTGCACAAATGTGGGAAAATGAAAAAAGCCGCTGGACGTAACTTCTCGGGATCCTCCAAAAAGTCCACTGAGAAAATCTCAGTAAATAACCACCATTTTACTGAGATTATATTTCATCCTCTATCGTCTCATCTCATTTCATTTATGTTCATCCCAGTTGATTAACGTCTCGAATTAATAATCTTCATTTCATTTCATATTATCATATTATTTCATAAAAATAAGATAAATTAAAATACGACGTGACTTAAAGGTCTTAGTTACCAGGTCATAAAATCCCTTTAAAAAAAAGTAGGAAGAAATCGCTGTTAGTCAAAGAATAAGGGTTTATTATATACATACTTCGCTAACAAGTAACTAATTCTATCTATGTTGATGTGGTGACTACCGCTGTATATGAGTGCTGAACGTGTACTGGCGCTTTATACTACGGTTCGAGTACCTATATATTTTTTCTACCTAAGCTGATAGCCTTGAGAGGCTATTTCAGCGTAACCGTGGCTAGTAGGTGAGCTCACGGGGCTCAAACCTGAAACCTGACGACGATGCTAACACTGGCCCTAGTAAGAGCCGTGCTTCGCAGAATCTACCACCGGATCGGAAACGCGACCCACTGAGAAGATCCGGCGAGAAACTCAGTGGGCTGTGTCTGAGAGTTAATTTACTCGTCGAGCCCTTCGTCGCAAGCGACGGGTTCGACGAAAACGCTGACCGGTGCTTGAAGTACTTAGAAGCACCGTTAGTGGATCGGGAGGATCCGAGATGACGTGTTTTGGGCGACGTCGACTGCTTTCCATTCTGTCCGCAGGATCGGGAATGTAGTTACCGGCGGCCACGATGAGAGGGTTCTCGAGTCGTGCCGCTTTATCGAAGTGGTTTGAGTAAAACGATGTCAATGTGCTGATTTGAATGCGCGCGTGCCCTGTACGATACATGACTCGTATGCTTACTCGTATTACTTACTTACTCGTATGCGACTCGATGTGTTTTCTTCCTTAAGTAGTACAACTATATTAAACTAGATGACACTGATTAACGTAATCGAAGTCGAGTCCAATAATTAAACGCCCGCTTATAATGCGTAAAACGTAGTTTTAATTAATAAACCTCAAAAGTCACGAATTTTTCTTGTTTAAATGCCTAAAATTATTTTTAACCATACCTTATGCAGTGGCTTGATAGACACTCGCATAACTTCAGAACTCAGAGACTTTTGTTTCTTGACAAATTCTTTGAATGAATCAACTGTTGTTGAAATCTCATTGGGCAGCTTGGTTTGCTTTGGTGGCTCAGCTGTAAAATCATTCACAAAGCACATTGTTTAAACTAGACATTTCAGTGTTTTTTTATAGTTTTATACTACCCAGATGGAACAATCACAATGCCATACATATCACAACGTGAATGCTGCCATGGTATGTCTTGGCACATGAAGTGAACTTTCTCACCTTCAAACCAGAACACATAACACAACAGAGAGAGAACACGATGGCGATATTCCTATTTCAATATAAATTGGGCATATGGACTTACTTTTAGCATCTGTAGTATTCGTCACACCAATACCACTTGTAGCCGGTGCAACTCCTCCAAGGCCGAAGCTTGATGTTCCTGATAATAAATATCAGTACTATTTTAAGTATGCACAAAACTTTAATTGGTCTGTAGCGGACAACACAGTGTAAAACCCTTTATAAATTTCAATATAGTAATTGAAACCTAAGAAAATACAGCTTAAATTTTAAGGAATAATTCAGTTTGCTAACATTATTATTATACTATTATTTGGATACCACTATTATTGTAATGAATTCTCATATCAATAGAGAGCAATAAAGTTAATGTTACCAAATATTTGCCAAATGTTCAAATTCAAACATCTTTTAAACGCAATGTCAATATCACATGATAAAAGTTTCAGTAACTTACCTAATGTTGATGGCTGAGTACCAGTTAGACTGGTTGTACCAAGCTTAGGTCCTGGGAAAGAAAATTAGGTTTATTCATGTAAATGATGAAAATGATTGGATGGTTAAAATAATGATCAATATTTGGTTTATGAAAGAGGAATTAAATTGAAAAATTGAGAAAGGAATTTAGGTATTCTATCTAGATTTTAACATTTTTTGAGTCATTAATTATAAGTAGTGTAAGTCAAACAATAAGATCGACCATTATTATCCGATGCCTCAACATTTGGATTTACTTATGTTTTATTATATGTTATTTCTTGTTCTAATGTGGATATTGGCAGAGGAACAATCCTGATGATTTCCCAATTTTTCCCAAAACAAGCAAATATATATTAAGCAAAATAGGAGAAAGAAATTACTTGTAAAGTCAAGGTAGTAGTAGTAGTAAGGTACTTAATAGTTTTTTCTTTGTTTATTGATATAAAATTCAAACGCATCATATAACTTGAACAACAATATGTGCGAAAACATATAGTGTAAATATTTTTATTATTGTTTGGTGGGTCTATACAGAGTCGCCGTTAACATGACTAAATTTTATAACTGATACTCAATTTACAAGATGCAACGGAACTCTGTTTCTAATACTTTAATAGGTTTTGATCTTTATAAAAAGTAATATGTGTATAATTATGTAGTTACATAATTACACACTACATAATTATACAATACAAGAAGTTATATTGTCAAATAAAATTATTGTCTTATCATCTAATCACTAAGAATGTAGGATAATTCCAAAAGTAACAAATTTAACTTCTATCTAATATTAGATACGCATAGAATAATGTAGTTTTAGTTTTCACCATATTCAGTTCAGCAATCCCTCATAAATTAAGACTTCATGACTTCAACTTTAAAAAACCATGATATTGAAAATTTTCATTAAAGTAGCATTTACTCATTAATCTACAATAATATACGAAATACACTACCAATGAAAGCTAACGAAGACATCATGCTATTTGTGTCTATGTATTTAAGTATCATAAAGTTATCTTTTATTTACGTTTTAAAAGTTAATAAGCTTAACCTACTATGTGTTTTGTACTGATCTCAGGAAGTCTAAATATTTTACATATATATTTTCAAATTTTTACAAAATGAAAGTTAATAATATTGATTCGATAAATTCATCTCACCAACTGTAGGAGTGACAATCTGATAACAGTCTCTAGAAGCACATTTTAATTTGTAATCATCACGTTTTACAGGACTTAAATCTTCAGGTATTATCAGCACATTACTAGTGGGTGCTTGAAAAGATTGGAATTTTGGTTTGTAGGATGAGAAATGGTCGGGATACATGGCACTGGAAGGATTATGATCTCAATTTGTATGATGTAGGCATTCTCCACTCGGTTTTGGGTTATAAATGGCTGTAGTTATTGTCAAAATATGGAGAAAGTCACTAATAATTGTTTGTTAATGTTTTTGCTGCATAAGAGCTTTTTCCAAATTTTCTTTTTTTTCTTATTGCTTAGATATGTGGACAAGCTCATAGCCCACCTGCTGTTAAGTGGTTACTAGAGCCCATAGACATCTACAACGTAAATGCCGCCACCCACCTTGAGATATGAGTTCTAAGGTCTCAGTATAGTTACAACAGCTGCCCCGCACTTCAAACCCAAACACATTACTGCTTCATGGCAGAAATAAGAGGGGTGGTGGTATCTATCCAAGCAAACTCACAAGAGCTCCTCTCACCAGTAATTGTCATCAACTGTCATATATATGTTAAAACTTTCGCCCTTGTACTGTTGCATCTAGCTTACTGATAGCTTTAAGCACTGATGGATTAAATTACTCATTTTCCCACTCCATTGAGAGGAATTTCTATGCTTGTTTTCAGTATTTTCACAATTTTTAAAACGCTTTCTTTATTGCAGGGATTGTTTGACAAGCCCACATGTGTTAAGTTTTTACCTGAGTCCATAGACAGTAATAACGCAAATACCGCCATCCACCTTGAGACTTGAGTTCAAGTCTTATTTTATAGTTCAATTTCCCCACACAGCAAACCAAAACGTTTCATTTTTTCACAAAATAAATAGGCAGAGTGGTAGTACATAGCCATGAGTGCAGTGAGTGAGTACTGCCAGTGTGAGCACAATACTTACATAGAACAGCAAATAGTAACAAATTGCATTTAATTTATATGGAACTGTTTCACTTGTGAGCGTAGCTCAGACGGTAAACTGTTGGTTAAATGTTAGTAAATAGTACATACCAAATAAACTACTAGATGTAGTGGCCGTGCCAGTGGCTCCCAATAGTCCAAACCCTGTTTGAGTAGTTGCTGTACCAAGACCAAAACTCAGACCCAACCCAGTAGTTGATGTAGTAGCTGGCTGTGTCCCAAAACCACCTGATGCAAAAAAAATATATTAAAATCAACTTAAATAAGTAATTGTGAAACTAAAAAATTTCTATATTTTTTTATAAAGTTCATTATTTGTGATCAATCATTCTATGACTTGTTTTTGCAGAAAAAAATCAAACAAGTCAGACTGCAGTATAGTATGAAGTGAAGTAACTGAAATAATTTATTTACTATGACAGACCTAAAGTATTTGATCCAAGACTAAAATTTGACCCAGCAGTGCCTGTACCAAAAGCCGGTGTTGTAGTTGTCCCAAATGCTGAAGTCCCTGTACCTACACAAGATTATTATTACACAGTTAAAAGAATATAATAAACTAAAAGAATAGTAAGTCTTAAATAAAATTCGTCCATTTAAGTCATCCTTTCTCAAAGTGAGCGATAATGCCTGCTTGTGGTCGCTGCAGGCCTAAAGGCGGTAAGAGACCCAGAAAAAAAATTGGGGCCATTGTGTTGTGGCTTGGGAAGCGATTTGTAATTTCATCTAGGAGGACTTTAAGCACCAACCGAGGTCTTGCTATAGTGGTTTTTTAAGTAGTTAAAAAAATGGGGGTGCTAAAAAAGAATTTATTCTCAAAGTGGGCACTAGACAAAATATGTTTGGGAACCCCTGATTTAAGTGTTTTCAAATTCTAGCCATTATAAAATATGACATCACAGCACAAATGCTTTCCAGACATGCATTAACTTAAAATTTAACAACAATTAAAAATACCAAAAGTAGGAGCTGTTGAACCGAAGGCCGGTGTAGTGGTTCCAAATACTGGAGCTGCAGAATTGGCTCCAAAAGCGGGTGTTGAACCAAAACCTGGATTAGTTGTTGTACCAAAGGCCGGAGCGGTCGATGCACCGAAAGCAGGTGTGGTAGTCGAACCAAATGCCGGTGTTGTCGAACCAAAACCTGCAGTACCAAATGCGGGCGCTGAAGTAGCAGATGTACTCCCAAAAAGGCCTGTTGATGGCTGAGATGTTGCAGTCATGCCAAATCCTGGGGTTGCAGGTCTGCAAATAAAAACATTAAAATTGTTATGCATCAAAAGATCTCATCCACAAGCACTTCATTAAAAATTAAGAAAAACTTAAACAGGTATTTGACATACACTTCTTATCGTATTCTTAGTACTAGCACTAGTAGTCAAAAACTACAAATTTATTGAGAACTTAAAAAGTACGTTTTACAACTTGGAGATGTAAATCTTTAACGTTTATTAACCTTTTAGAACGTAACGCACTACTTACATATGGTTACCGCCAATTTTTGAGATTTCCAGAAAAGGAAAGCATTTGAACCCACATTAGGTGTTGATGCAGATTAAAAATCCACGTTACCTATTTAAAATACCGAAAAGGTTTTCTACGAAGAAGGTTACTACTTAAACTATAGTAAAATACGTAAGTCACTTACTTGTTGGTACCGAAACTAAAACCTCCTGCGAGTCCTGTGGTAGCAGGAGCACTTGAAGGTGTGCCGAACGAGAAAGACATCTTTGCTAATTTCAGCACTTTTCAGTTATTCACATATCATTCTTCAAGTGATTTAAATTTGAACTAAAGCCAGTAAAGCCTGTTAATAATAACACAGACTGATCAAGACAAGTCGTTGCTTGAGCTATGAATTGAGGACATTGAGGTTGAAATGACATGCTTCAAGTTTCTTTTATCAAAAAGTACTCTGTGGTAGCTTCAGTGCGATTCACAGATTCGTTTTATGTAACAATAGTCAATCAAAAATTTAAGTTGTGTTTTTACTTCTGTAAATTTACCTGATTTTTTTAGTATTCGTATAATCGCGAACTAATTCATCAACTTCAGTTCATTTCGCTTTACATTATAATAGGTTAAAAGAAGAAAATATTAGACTTGGCTTAAAGGTCTCGTTACCAGGCCATCAAATCTTCAAAAATAAATTTGGTAAACTCGACACCTAAGCTGTCCGTGACAACAAAAGTTGTTTAATATTCCAATATAAGGATGAGATTAAACCATAAAACCAGTTTTAAATATGTCAATGAATTGCGAAAACCAAAAATTATAATATTATCCTAGTTTAACTAAAATATGTTTTCACATGTTTCTGTGGGCGGTGGTTAATTAATGTTGTGATACGCTCCGGTAATTATTTGATAGGNGACACCTAAGCTGTCCGTGACAACAAAAGTTGTTTAATATTCCAATATAAGGATGAGATTAAACCATAAAACCAGTTTTAAATATGTCAATGAATTGCGAAAACCAAAAATTATAATATTATCCTAGTTTAACTAAAATATGTTTTCACATGTTTCTGTGGGCGGTGGTTAATTAATGTTGTGATACGCTCCGGTAATTGTTTGATAAGGGGCCGTGAGCTTGTTCACTTAAGTATGTAATAAATAAATCAAAAGATGTTGATCAAAGGAAATTTAATAGATTCAAATTGATACCTTTTTGAACAAACAAAAAAGTATAAAACTATCATTTGTAAAACGCGAAATGACAAGATATTGTGATGTTTCTGTTTCGTTTCGATAATAAATTAATTAATTCTAAATGAATCATTTGGCGTACGGAGGACATTTGTACAATTCGTGCAGAATTATTTTCAAGACAACTCCGGTAAACACAGGAATTTCCTTCGTTTTGACGGCGTATCCGAAACCATATGTTAGGTCCGAACGGCCTCCAGTTATGGAGCCAATTGAACTCCATAAAAGACTATTTACAGGAAACACGAAGGTAGAAACTGGACTGATGAAAGCAGCTAATATTGTAAATTATACTTACGTTTAAAATAAAAATGTTTTTCTTTTCCTCGTATGTTCATACGTATTGTTACTATACTATGAAGTCGTCGTGGCCTAGAGGATAAGACGTCCGGTGCATTTGTATGTAGCGATGCACCGGTGTTCGAATCCCGCAGGCGGTTACCAATTTTTCTAATGAAATACGTACTCAACAAATGTTCACGATTGACTTCCACGGTGAAGGAATAACATCGTGTAATAAAAACCAAACCCGCAAAATTATAATTTGCGTAATCACTGGTGGTAGGACCTCATGGGAGTCCGCACGGGTAAGTACCACTACCCCGCCTATTTCCGCCGTGAAGCAGTAATGCGTTTCGGTTCGAAGGGTGGGGTAGTCGTTGTAAATATACTGAGACCTTAGAACTTATATCTCGAGGTGGGTGGCGCATTTACGTTGTAGATGTCTATGGGCTCCAGTAACCACTTAACACCAGGTGGGCTGTGAGCTCGTCCATCCATCTAAGCAATAAAAAAATTCCTTTTCTAGAAAATTTAAATAAAAAGCATCAACTTATTTATTCATCAAGTGTTCACCCAATGATCGAAATTCGACCATTATTGGATTATTTTATTTTGTTGTCGACATTTTGGACTATTAAACTTCGAAAGTTTTGAAATAAAAGTATTTTATGATCTTTTTCCCCTACCTACTTGTTGGTAGGCTAAGAGGCCATTCCGGCTACGCCCGGAGGGACAGGTGAGCTCACAGGATGAACCTGAGTGAATTTGCTAACACTATCCATAGTAAGAGCAAAATCTGCCACCGGATCGGTATCGCGACTCACTTAGAAGAACTGGCGAGAAACTCAGTGGACTGTGTCAATGGGTCAGTTCGCTGGAGGACGGTGACCGGTGCTTGAGGGTCCTAAAAGCATCGCGAGTGAATCCGGGCGATCCGAGAAGTTTCAGGGAACGGCGGCTTTACGTTGCCGCGTCGCGGTCGTTAAGTAACTAGCGGCGCCCACGTTAAGAGGATATTCGTGTTGCGCCGTTTTGTCGAAGTAGTGTTCTGACGTTTCCTTAAGATACTTACGTATCGGTACTAGATTTAGGTCGTTAGATCTACATTTTACACATACTATGGTGCTCCGACAGCTATCCTGCAGTAAGTAGGATTGGATGACCTGGAGAGAGTTAATATGTGTACGGGCCGCGTGTGCAAATTTTGTAGTGTCACCTGGTTATGAAGGGACAATTTACTTTGTTTGCAAATTATGGGGATGAAAGCATTGTAAATGTAAGCTCCTCAAAACCATTGAGCCTATAGTAAAATAATAATATAGGAAAATTTTAAACCGAAGATGTAATAGTACTTATTTACCGTTGTGTTTTCTCTTATTTAATAAGTTATTTTTTGATGGCATATTTGTTCTTCTCTTCCTAATCATTGCTAGTCTGCGGGTCTGAAATATTAAGTGCCTACGGGTCTATTCCAATTTATTATTTCCAGTTCCGAATACGGGTATGTAAGCTCACGGACTAAGCCCGATAGAGTAACATTTTATGGCAATTATGGTTATGGAATGAGCTAACGTTATAATTTAGAATATTTAACACAGTCTTTAAAAATATATTGCGTGCACAAGGAAGCGAAATTTATGTCAGCGTTGCGGAAATAGTAATGTAGTGTCTAGATTCTATGTACAAACAGAGTATTTTGATGCCCACCTGCCCTGGTAAAACTGGAAAGGCCTCTGGGCCACCAGTAATCTCTCAAACATAATAAAGTATTTTGACGCACCATATTACCACACATGAGTGATGTGATTGATACAGAAAGTGAGTTTCGTGCTGATTCTCTTTAATAGTGCATTGGGAATCCATGCTAAAATCGTGACGATTTAAAAGCGGATTTTTAGACCTAAATGAATTAAAAAATATATTTATTGGTTCAGGCAAGCTGCCATCTTGTCTCTTTATTCCGAGTAATAAAGGTATTGTCTTATCAAGAAAAAGTATCAACTTATTGTAAAATAAGTAGGCGATTTAAAAAAATAAAAGGTATAAGCCAATAAATATTATACATAGTCTTATATATCATTTATATTAAAACCCGTCTAATAATTCACGTCTTCAATTCGAAATAATAATACGCCGTTACAATTCACGAAGGCAATTAAACTTGCATGAAGATAGGAAGCTGTAGAGCTGATTACTAATAAATTCATTATGATAACGTGGATTTGAATCAAATAATATAAAATGTAGGTGATTGGGGTTACAATATTTATATTTAACCAGAGTGTCATTATATTACTGGCGGTAGGACGTCTTGTGAGTCCGCACGGGTAGGTACCACCACCCTGCCTATTTCTGCTGTGAAGCAGTAATGCGTTTTAAAAAAAAAGTAGGTATCTCAAGACAAGCCTGTCGAGGTGCCTGTGCTTTGTTAGCGTAATATATTTGAGAGGAATTTTTGGCAGGAGCGCGAGGAGTGAAGTTGTGAGATTTGTTTTATTTTGTCTATTTGGTGTTTCTTCGGATTTAAATGTGTAATAACGGTGGTTTGTTAGCTGTTTAATATCTGTGAAAGTGCACAACTGTAGGAAAATGAAACAAAGCCGCTGAACGTAACATCTCGGGATCCTTCAAAAAGTCCACTGAAAAAATCTCAGTAAATGACCACCATTTTACTAAGATTATTTTTCATCTCATATTATCTCATCTCATCTTCATTTCATTTCATTTCACTCCTATAATTTTTCATGAAAATAAGAATATAAATTAAAATAAGACATGACTTAAATGTCTTAGTTACCAGATCATAAAATCCCTTAAAAAATATATGTATGTCGTGGTTAACGACTTTTAGTAATATTAAGACGTTGTTTTGACTATTATTTTAAATGATGAAATGTTGTTTTGATAAATATCACAAAATGTAGGGTAGACTCCGTAACGCCACAGTATAAAATGGCGGTACGTGGACAAAGTCGTGGCCTCTCCCGACAAGGCGCGTCGACACCTCCGCCTCCGCCATTCGCCAAATCACGATGTTCGACCAGCCCATACCGTGGGCCCCGAAGGTCAAATACTTAGGCGTCACCCACGACAGTAGGATGATATTCCGCCTCCATATTAAGAGGGTACGCGACCGTGCCGCCTTCATTCTAGGACGTCTCTACCCGATGATATGCAGGCGAAGTAAAATGTCCCTTAGAAATAAGGTGACACTCTACAAAACTTGCATACACCCCGTCATGACCTATGCAAGTGTAGTGTTCGCTCACGCGGCCCGCACTCGCTTAAGATCCTTCCAGATAGCCGTCGGAACCCCGTGGCTCGTCAGGAACGTCGACCTCCATGACGACCTGGACTTAGAGTCCGTCAGTAAGTATTTGCAGTCGGCGTCGATGCGTCACTTCGATCAAGCGGCACGACACGAGAACCCTCTCATCGTGGCCGCCGGTAACTACATTCCCGATCCTGCGGACAGAATGGAAAGCAATCGACGTCGCCCAAAACACGTCATCTCGGATCCTCCCGATCCACTAACGATGCTTTTAGGTACTTCAAGCACCGGTCACCGTTCTCGTCGAACCCGTCGCTTGCGACGAAGGGCTCGACGAGTAAATTAACTCTCAGACACAGCCCACTGAGTTTCTCGCCGGATCTTCTCAGTGGGTCGCGTTTCCGATCCGGTGGTAGATTCTGCGAAGCACGGCTCTTGCTAGGGTTCGTNCTCGGATCCTCCCGATCCACTAACGATGCTTTTAGGTACTTCAAGCACCGGTCACCGTTCTCGTCGAACCCGTCGCTTGCGACGAAGGGCTCGACGAGTAAATTAACTCTCAGACACAGCCCACTGAGTTTCTCGCCGGATCTTCTCAGT